GTTGGTGAGGAGGTCTCTGCCGGGGGCGGGGGTGGCGGGGGTGGGGATCGGTGTGCGAGGCCGGGGGTGACTGCTAGGGGTCAGGGCACGGTGATCTGCGGGGGCGTGGGGGTGGCGGGGTTCCCCGCAGCCAGGGGTGTCCGGACCGCGCCGGCAGGGATGTGGGGGCCGGGGCGGGACAGATGGGCGGCGGGAGCGGCTCCGATGTGTCTTTTTTTTTAACGCTCCGCAGGAAGACCTTCTTTTAGGTTTAAAACCGATCCCCCGCATTATTCATCGCAGGGAACACAGTGCAAGGAATATGAGCGAGAGCGATAGACAGAAATCTACATTGCAAAATCACGAAGTAGCCCAGATAGTCATGTACCACGCAGAGAGCACAATGCACCAAGATACCATCCAAATAAGAGCAATACAATGAACTCGTATGTGAATCTCGACGCTCTCTGGCCACACCAACACAGTATCCAATGTCGCTCCTACTGTGTGGCGCCCAGCGCCCAGCCTACACTACTCAGCCTATCTACACCTATCTACGTTCACGCAAGGGGCACTTATGGAAAGTACGGCCCTGTTTCTGGCTGCATGGGCCTGGTTGGGCCGCTTTCCAATAGCTTCCAGTCGGGCCCCAGTGTCTGCGCCCAGGCCTCCCTTTGCTGTTACCGGCCTGGGCCCTTTGCAGTTGGGCACGTTCAGGCTACCCTGCAGGCTCCAAGTGCTTGCCACATTCTCATTGGCTTGCGGTAGATGTCTGACGACAATGCTGCATTCTCATTGGCCCACGGCCTCTGCGTGATGTATCGGCCTTCCACTGCGTGTACCCAGGGTGCAACTACCTGAGCCCTGGGCTCAACTGAACATCGCAGTTGCTTCTTCTGGAAAGAGCCAGGAGAGGCTCACGTTGCTCTGTAACCACCTGGCATGCGGCAACTGTCTGATACCCCACTTACGAAAAATGTTGAAAATAGGTCTCACATGGATGTACAAGCCCGCCTTCACTTAGGGGGGGCATGAGGCTTGCTGGGGGCCGCAGCCCAGAACATTTGCATGCCCGAGAAGGGCCTAGTGAGGGCTTATTCCTCGCATTCCATCCCCCTTAGCTTGAAAGTCCGCTGAGATGCTTCTACGCAGGTGCTTTCCCCCTTCAACTTTCGTTCATACTCGGCAAAGATTTGAGGTGCTGTTCTGACAAGCTCCTCCCTTGTGAACCAACGATCTTCCTTGGGATCCGTATGATGCCTGAATCTGACACGGTACTCCCTCATAGGTTTTGGCGGTCTTCCCCTGCCCACAGGCTTGGGTACAGGCAAGTCTCTATGTTCCAAGATATCGTCGGCGTCCACATGGCCACCCATGGTTGGGGGCAGCATTGATCTCCTTGATGGGAACTGATCAGCCTCAGTGAAAGGTGCAAGCTTGGAAGCATGAAATACAGGGTAAGTGCGCAGATGACCAGGGATTCTTATGACGTGAGATGGCCCATCCCAATCACTACCCATAATATCTAGGACTTCCCAAGGACCAAAATACTGCGGCATCAGTTTCCTAGAGATTCCGAATTCCTGTCCCCTACCGAAAATGTTGACTGTCGTCTGTGCTTGTTCCCAGAGGCAATCATTGCCTCCTGCGATTTTCTGATGTGCCCGACAGCCTGCTGCAACAGCTTCTCATACTGGACACCAAACTCTATGGTTCCAGGCGTTGCAGCTGGTCGGTTTTCAGGAAGGAAGAAGTCTAGTGCAGATCTAGGCTTCCACCCTAAATGCAGCTCATTTGGATTGACACTGGTGGTGCTGTGTACAGCGTTGTTGTAAAGACTGGCGATGAGAGGCAACTTCTCATCCCAGTCGTCCTGGCTGGGCTTGATGTAATGCCACAGCAAATGCTGCACCACGCGGTTCATCTGTTCTGCTTGGCCGTGAGCTTCGGGATGATTTCCCCAAGTCATTTGGAGCTGGCTTCCCATCTGTGCAGCAGCCTTCTTCCACATCTCACTGGTGAACCGGACATCTCTATCACTAACGATGGTCTTGGGAAGTCCAAAATCATGCATCCAGTTATCCATAAATAACTTGATGACGTGGTCGGTTTTGGCAGTCTTTGGCATTGGAATTAGCCTAGCGTACTTAGTAAACCTGTCAACTATGACAAAGATGTGCCTCTTGCCACTCTCGCTGGTCTCGAGGGTATCCATGAAATCCATGGAGACACTCTGTCCCGCAAGAATGGGCAAGGGCTTGAGTAACCCAAGTGGTGCTTGAGTTCGCGGCTTATCCTGTTAACAGACTTGGCAAGTCTGAACGTACTTTTTTGCATCGTCAAGCATACTAAATGCTGCACTAGGTTAGCACTAGTCTTCTTGTAGCCGAAGTGACCAGCGTGCACTCTTTGTTGGCTAGAGTAGATGCAACAAGTCTACTCAAGCGCTGCACCCGGTCCCCTAGGCGCAGTCTCTCAACGCAGTCGCGACTGATGAAGTTCCGCGTGGAGCCAATGTCTACGAAGGCACCACACTTGCGATTACCTACACTGACTTCCGCAACGAAATGCTCCCCTTTAGGACCTCTTGACAATGCCACCCAAGACCCAAGACTCACCAGGGTCCCTTGCCGCCACCTTGGTTTCTAAGTCTTCTCAGGCTTCAGACACATCTAACGAACAGAGAGTCGTTTGGTCCAGATGTGTCTGTGGGGTGACTAGCGAGTCAATAGCTTCGGCCAATTCCTGAAGTGGTGAGGATACACCTTCCACTTCAGCATGAGTAGAAGCAGAGCTACAACTTCTATTGGCCAGATGTTTTTCCCTGGGTTGTGCTCGTAGAAGCACCACCTTGGGCGAAAGATCCCACAAAACCACTCTTGGGATGAATCTTCTGAGAGACTTTCGCATTCTTGCATCTGAACTCGTCTACAGCTATTTGTTGAGCCCCTCCCAACTTTGCCTCTAAATCTAAGGCCTTGTTGCTAAAGGTCTCAAGGGTGTGATATTCGATGCTCGCCTCCAGTAACCATCAGATTCTTGATGTTTGTGGGAAGACATCTCAAGAACATGGTTAGGAGGACTTGGGGATTGTAGCGAATTCTCGGAACTACCACCAGTTTCTCTACGGCACTAGTGAGGTCACGCACTGTCTTGTACTTCTTAGCATCAAGACGGGCCAACACATTAGTGACTTGCTGAGCCTGCTGCGGGTTGTGCCATCACGCCTCCACCAAGTCCATAAAGCTTTCTAAAATCTGGGTCTACGCCCAATCATCCGTTCATCTGCCAAATCCCTTTGTCGCTACATGCCCGTTGCCCATTCAGCCATCTCACTGCCGATCCTTCTAAGTAAGAAGCGACGGTGATCACCTCCTCCTCACGCAGAGTACGCTTGGCCCTCACCCACAATGGAACTTTCCTCAACCAAGTGTCAAGGGCCTCATCCTTCTTGTCTCTTGTGAAGATAATGGGGGGTTTCATTGGGGTCTTTGGATACCAGGGTTGTTGTGGTCCAGTCTGTCCGGCTTGCTGAGACGGTGGCTGGACCGGCTGCTGCCTTGCAGCAGCTGAACCTGAGGATGAAGAAGCAGCAGTCTGTGCTGCCGCTGCTGTCGGACCACCTGGTATGACACCAAACTGTGGAACAAAGGGGCCTGTCATCATCGGTAATAGGACTGGCGATGAAAAAGCTGCTTGCTGCCGGATACTGGGCCCGCTAGGTATGCAGGGTAATGGTTTTCCCCTTCCCTACACGGCAGTCAGTATCTGGTCAAGGGTTGACAGGATTTCATCCAGTCGGCTGTCAAAATACTCATTTAGACCCAGCAGATTCGCCCGGATGATCTTTCCTGCGTCATACAGGACTGAATCATCTAACCCTTCTAATGCAGCTTTGTCTGTCGGTAGCATCTCTGATTTGCTTCTCTAACTGTGTGCGGAGTAGCTCAAGGGCAACAAAATCACATGCGGGCAACAAACTCGCGTGTGGTTGAAAGGGCAACAAAATTGTGCTAGTCTCTGGGCCGCTCGGTCACCTGGCCGTCACCCGGGGGTGTGCCGAGCGGCCTGGCCGGTTGGGTCCCCCGGTCAACCGCCAGGCGGGCCCAGCGCATTTTTCAGCACGGGGTAGGGAGGGCCAGGGCAGGTCCAGGCAGCGTCCCAATGCGCCAAGGGCCGAGTATGGGCCGTCAGAAAAAAAAAGTTGACTTCTACCTCTGCGTGTGGTGAGGCTGCGCGCGAATGCCAGCCCCTACCGGTATTCAATTTCGAACGCGGGATGGCATTCGCGTGCAGCCTCACCGCGCGAGCAGACCCTAGCACGCCTGCACTTCGTCTAGCGCTGCAGCTGCCCGTTGCCGTTGCGACCTCCTCCAAGCTGCCCCTCGTCGTCGCCATTGCCGGTGCTGCCACCTCGAACCCAGGTAACCCCCCCCTACCCCGCAATACTTTTTCTTCTTCTTCTTCTTCTTCTTCTTCTTTTTCTTTCTTCTTCTTCTTCTTCTTCTTCTTCTTCTTCTTTCTTCGTCTTCCTCTCTTCTTCCTCTTCTTCCTGTTCTTCTTCTTTTGGATGTTTTTCCTCCTCCCGTCGACAAACCTCACCAGCTCGATCAGCAGCCAGAGCACGAAAGTTCCCCACCTCCGCTCATCTCCAATGGTGACCCTGCAGCTCCTTCCTTCGCGGGTGCCCTCCGCTCCACCTCGTCCTCCTCCTCCTCTCTTCCTCCTTGTGAACGACCCCCCCCCCAAACCCAACATGCCTTCACCATTTTCTCAGCAGTTTTGGGCTGCTCTCGGCAAGTGCAGCAATACCCCACTTTCAAAACAAAAATAAAATAAAACTCTGGGACACTTTTCAGGCCACCCGGTTTTCCCAGGTGGACCCCCCTCGGTCCGTCTGGGCCGGGCGGTGGCCTAGCACAGCAACAAAACCATTTTTACCCGCGTGCCGAGTTTGAAAAGGGCAACAAACTCGCGCGCCTAGTTTGCTAAGAGCAACAAACTCGCGCGCCTAGTTTGAAAAGGGCAACAAAATCACACTTGGGCCACAGCCCTTTTTACTGATATTACCCTTTTCAAACACGTTGCCCATACATGTTTTTTTGGCCTTTCAAAACCGAAAGTGTGACACTGCTGGACTTGTTTCTTCTTTTTTTTTTTTTCCACACAACACACGTGCCCCATCTATTCTGGGGGGGGCCAGTCCAGTTGCTCCTCACCGGCAAGCAACAGTACAGAACAAGAGTTAAGAGAACAGAGAGAAAGGGCCACTCCTGCAGATATCAGCCCCCACCCCCACCGCTACATTCTTCATAGGGGCTATTCTTACAGTTTCAAACTACTGTCCGCCCAAAGTTGCTGTCACCTGTTTTTTTCTGCGCATTTGGAACTCAAACCCCGACACCAGCATAGTTGTTTGAAAAAAAAAAGAGAGGCTAAATTGCAAACAGAAATTGTGCGTACCCCTTCGATATTGAGTTGACCGTATGAGATGGTGAGGTGAGTCCCTGCTGGAGTAGATGAGCCCACAGTGCGTGCATGATGACGAGGCAGTGCTTGGAGATGACTTCTGTTCTTTCTGTCTCCGGGCTTGAAGATAGAGAGCCTGTGTGTAATAATAGGATTTACATTATGATGAAATGACATCGTAATCAGCAAAGGAAAAAAAAAGAAAAAGAAGAAAAAAAGATTGCAACAGGTAGGCAACGGGTCAAGGATCCGAAGTGCATGCGTCTCCATTTCTCTCCACATGAACGTAAAAGAGTTAAAATTTGAAGCTAAAGAAGACAAACAAAAAACGGAAACTTGAAAAATAAATATTGACTTCTATAAAAACAGGTATCTCACGATTTTATTTTTTTTCAAATACATACATAAGGTGTTTACGGACTTTAGTTCTCACAGCAAAAAACACCTCATCCCGCCGGTGATAAAAGTTACCGGATGCTCGACCCTTCTGTCCTGCTGCTCAGGCCAAGAGGAGTCTCACGATGCCTGCGGGCAGTGCTTCATCCACGTTGGGGTCCGTGGGAATTCTCATTATTGGGGGAATTAATTGGGACTGTGGATTCTTGGGGAGCCTTGGGTAGGAAGGCATCATGTTTTGGATAGGGGAGGACGGGATATCACATCTTCATGGAAGGGCGGTTCGCTGCCCACAGAATCTGCGGGGTGAGGCACAGATGGGGGATGACTGCATATGCATGGACTCCGCCTGTGCCCGGCTCGTCCTTAACATTAGAGTTAGGGCAGTGTCTGCACGAACGTTCGGGTTACCTTCTTCCCCTGAATACAACGTACGGTCATTATAGCTGTATCTAGACTGAAACATACCCCAAATACAGCTATAATGACTGTACGTTGTATTCGGGAGAAGAAGGTAGTCAGGTAAGCGTTGGCGCAGATCACGACTTGCAATCTGAGCATTAGTGTAGGTCATGGTACCATGGTGCCATCTTGAGGTGACTCCCCCAGGGTCCTCGCAATCCATCTGACCTCTCAATGGGATGAGTACTACGGGCAGCTCCTGAGGCCTGGCCACCACCCTCTACTACACACTGGTCCTTTTTTAATGAAGCAAAAAAAAAACATCAGTTCACATGAGCCTAAGATGGCGAAGCTACTTTCCAAGGCTCACAAGCCTGCAACTGCACCTTTTCAAAGTGGCCTGCCACTTTCACTACCAGCCCAGGCCCGAATCGAAACATGCTCTTACGGCATATACCGCTACGAGCACTACTTAGGTTCGTGTGATCTGGTGGTTGAAGACAAATTACTAAATTAGATATTTAAATAAATCATAAGCGTCCAAGTTCTGAACAACATACATAAGATGGAAGTATCTAATTAGCATATTACCAACACACAACGTGCATTCGTCAGGGTCCTTAGACTCTTTTTAGATGCCCTTGAACGGATTAGTACACTGAACAACACGCCGCTAAAGTGTAAAACAGGAACTGAATCATCATCATCTTTCCGTTCCTCCGCCTCCGCCTCCGCCTCCGCCTAAAGAACGGAGCCAAGTCATTACTCGATGACAAGGAACTGAATCACTAAGGCATGACGCAAACAAAATCTCTCTCTGCCATGGTAAGATGCTTGATGGCAAGGCGACAAAATCTCACATTAATGAAAGGATAACGGCAGGTATGCGGTTACATTTTGGCACACAAGAAATGTTTGAAAATGAAAAATGAGCAACCAACTTAGGCAAAAAAACAAAAATGAAGTCCTTCGGAACACCCATTAAAATTAGAACGATACAGAGACGATTAGCATGGGCCCAGCGCAAGGATGACACACATAAATGGGGAAATGGTCCAAATTTTCAAGGGGAAAAAAAATAAAATTCAGGTGTGTCAAGGATGACACACATAAATGGGGAAATGGTCCAAATTTTCAAGGGGGGAAAAAATAAAATTCAGGTGTGTGTATGGTGGCTCACCCACCCTGCTGCCTGATTTCCGCCGTTGGAACTAGGCCTAGGACCTCTTTGTGACCACTGGGGGCCAATGGCCCCGCACCTATTTTGTGACATTCTTGCAGTGAATTATAGGTTTTCCTGACCTGGGAGAATCAATGCCTACAATTAGGAGTAGTGGTAGGTAGGTAGTGTGAGGTGAAATTGAGAGAAGAATATAGCTTAAAAAAAAAAAAAACCCTGAAGTTCTGGGCCTTGCGGGAACACAGCACAGGGCAAAGATTTGCATACTTTTGGGCCAGTTTTTTTTCCTATTTTCTTATTTGTTTGTTGGTTGAGGGTCCAACTCTCTTCGGCCAGATTTCTTGTTTTGCAATCCAGAATCCAGATTCTTTTGTTCCACCTGAACAGATTGGCACTCAATCTACAATCCTGGTTTTTCTCATTTTTTTGTAAAATAAAACGAGAACGAAAAATTGCCAAAATCAGCACACTCGAAATTTTGCAACAGCCACAGGCCCCTCGGATGCTATCAGTTCTAGTATCTGGTCATGTAGGCATCACCTTGGGAAGCAGAATGGGTCTCCATGTCGAGCATGTCATCCTGTAGAAAATATCTGCAGCTTGCTGCCATTTAGCTAAATGTTCGTCCAAACAATCAACTGTAATAAATAGAGGGACACTGGACCCGATTTCCAGCAGGTGCTGCTCCCCACCAATAGATGGACCCCCCCAGGTGGTGTCTGCTCTTATCAGCACCCCTAGCACTACCTCACGTGTCGTCCCCCCCCCCCAAAAAAAAAAAATGGCACCCTGCCGCTAGGTCCCCCAACCCTTCCTGTAGCCAGCATGTTTCACAGCCGCAGGTCGAGGTGAATGTTGAGGCCAGTGGTGATTGAAGTAGGCACAGGCTCCTGATTTTCCTCATATTTTTTGACATTTTTGTAAATATAAAAAAAAATGAACGAAAAATTGCCAGAATCAGCTTCACTCAGAACTTTGCCCTCTGGGGCCACGCCACGCCCACCGCCCCACCATCCCCGCAGCCAGCGTGTATATGGCTGCAGGTCTAGGTCATGGTCGAGGCCAGTGGTGGTTTACGTAGGCGCAGGCTAGGATCGCACCACCACGATGCGATCTTGTCCATGCTTCAAACAGTCACGATGTGATCGTGGCCACCTACACAAACAAAGTTAGACGGCCACAATTCCATGGTGATAGTGAGTTGGAGTGATAGGAGACCACGAGGGTCACCAACTTTGCTCTAGCAGATAAACATACCTGTTGCATACCGTAACGGTGCAGACCAGAACAAGAACCGACCTCTCTCACATAGTACAAGATAGCGCCGCGGAAGGCTAATATACCAATGATCAGACCAATCAATGTCGCAATGCAAACCAAACATACATCATCATCATTGCATGGTGTGAAGGGACCTGGCGCTCACACAGGAAGAAGTGCGCCAGTCCCAAACATACACAGACGACAAATAATCCCTCATCCAATGTCTCAATCCCAATGTCGAGTCTGAATCCAAATGTCGTCAAGTCCCAAAGTCACCAATCTCTCTCTCTCTCTCTCTCTCTCTCTCTCTC